GGGCTCCTTGCGCCTGGCTGACACAACCGTCTTGTCACACTCGGGCTCCTTGCAGGACACGGACCGGGTGTGCCCGTTGGCTGCTCTTTGGTACTTCTTTTCTTCACCCCCGCGGTAAACACTGTGCTCACAAACCTGCTCGGATAGGGGGATCACGACAAGGGCCTCGTAGGTCTCGACCGTCAGCTCGGAGATGTTCGAGAAGGTGCCGCGGGAGCTCGGGACAAGGTCGGGGAAGGAGACCGGGATCACGGAGCTCTCCGGCGCACCTCCGTAAACCACGTAGCTCTCGCCCTCGTTGTCCTCGCCGTTGCCCTCGGGGAGTACGAAGTAGCTCGTCTTTGCCCCCTTCTTCGGCGAGGCGGTGCGCAACTTGTTTGGGCTGGTGCCTCCCTTCCCGGTCTTCTCTCGCTTCTTTGGACACTGGTCGTCTCCATTCCAGTGTCCCTTCTGGCCACAGGCGGTGCAGGGGGTGACCTGCTTGAGGAAGCGGATTGCACTTCGCTTCGACTCCCTGGCCTTGTCAAAGCTCATCTCCCCTGTCGCCCGGAAAGGCATCGGCTGCCCCTTCCCCGCCGAGCTCGGGGGCTTTTTCTTTCTCTGCATAATCGTGGCAAAGGCGTCGGCGAGCTCCTCATCCTCAAGGTCAAAGTCCTGGAGCAGCGCCTCGAGGTTGTCCGCGGTGCCGTCGTAGAACTCCCCGGCGGTGGTCAGGTCGTCGGGTTCTCCTCCGTCGGGGTCCTCAAAGTAGGCGTCGTTCTCGTAGTCCTCCGTGTCCTCGGGGATCGCCTCGGCAACCGCAAGCGCGTAGCCCTTGCCTTTTCCACGGCCCTTGCTCGGGGCCCTTGGCTTGAACCTCATCATCCCGGGCGTTGCTGGTGCTGGGGTAGCTCTCCCGCACCCTAGGTAGTCTCTCCTGAAGACGGCCTTGCCGGTGGCGTTGGGAAACTGGATCCGGAGGGCGTGCGATATCTTCTTAAAGTCGTACTCGTTGTTCACGCTGCTCAGCACGCTCAGCTGCTCCTTCGGGTCCAGGCCGCCGAAGGCGAGAAGCATCATGGCCCGGATGTGCTCGGGGATCTTGGAGTCGGGGAGCACATCTTCCAGTCTCTTAAAGTCCTGCTCCCTTCTCACAATGTACTGCTGCATGCTCTCTGTGCTCCGCCGCCAAACACTGGGAGAATAAAAGGCGACGAAGAAGAGCTCATTCACCTTCACCGGCTTCTCCGCTGCGATGCTCTCCTGGAGGGTGCTCAGAAAGTGCTTCAGCCCAGCGTCGGTGGGCTTCGATTGAGCATCGCGCGTCATGAGCTTGTCGTGCTTGATAAGGCGAACGGCCTCATAAGCTGCTCCTTGAAGTCCGGATCGAAGGTGGACTGGGGTCGCGGCCTGGTTCTCGGTCCCCTGTCTCCCATGCCACAGGTCCCAGGCCCGCTCGCAGTACTCTTCAAACTGGTCCGGGTCTCCACCATATTGTGGTACCCCAAACCTGTCCACTTCCAACCTCATAGAAGAAAGCATCAGGAGGTTGTCTTGGGGTGCCGCCGGCCGTAAAGGCGAGCAGCTCGAATTGAAGGGCCTGGCCGCACCACTGCGTCACCAGGCTGTCGCGGAAAGCGTAGGGCTCAAAGCTCGAAGTCGCAGGGCGGCTTCGAAGCGGCAGGCTGGAGCAAACCAGCTCCGCTTACCATCAAAGTGCACAAGCAGGCGCGGATGCACTGTGGTAGCTATCTTTTACCTCAAAAGGGCGCCCTTGGTAAAGCCGCATGGCCACGGAAGAACATCTGTGCACATCTTCCGACAAACTGCCACGCTGCACTCAGTCCGGCTACAAAGCTGCTACGCCGGTAGGGTGGAAGTTTCTCATGCAATGATTGTGTGTCGTCCTATGCAAGAGGCCAAGACAAGGAAGAGAGGTGAGCCTTGCAGCAGCCCCATCTGATGCTGGTTTATTGCGAAGCTTAGCTTGGTACAACATAGATGGGCAAGTGCGAGAGTCACTGCCTTCTCTCCAATCCAAAGCAGTTGTTGGTCTCACTCGGAACTACCTCGAGTTTTGGGGAGACTTTGCTGCCCGTGACACTCGTCGCAGTCACAGGAATCTGCTCTGCGTTCCGCCGGCGATTTAAGTCTTAGGTAGTGAAACAATGCCCAACGAATCGCTACGTTTCTCAGCCGTGGGAGCTGCACGAACTATTCATCCAGCTGAAGACTGCGGTCCGCAGTTTGAGAGTCCTTGCCTCAGGTGATTGTGCGGCTTTCCTGATTCCGATACAACTCAAAAGTGCAAACATCATGCTCACAAAAGACATGGGCCGAAGTCGCCGTTAAGATCCGTTCTGTCCAGTGGTAGATGCTTAGCTCGAGCATAGCAAAGGGCGCCGCAAATGCAGCACGCGAAGCCCAATGCACTCTGCAAATCAACCTGCTGTCACTTTTGCACAGTCAATGAGAGTGGGTGACGTTGGTTCCACACCTGTACGCATGCATGTGTGTGTGTGTGTGTCTCTGTGTGCATGCTTGCATTTGTGTATCCTCTTCCATGTTGCCTATAATGAAAATGAGCGCTGGAGATCGAGCTCAGGAGCTGGATCTTGGAACCAAACGACGCCAGTAATCACCAGAGGTATTTGATGCAAGGTCCCCAGAACCTGCAAGGCAACGGCGGAGGAAATGTGAACCAACCGGAGCTCGGCGACCGTCAGGATGCCAATGCCGCATGCCTCCATAACAGCATGATGCCCTTTGAAGTGGTCTAAGACTAGAACTGACGCTTTGCCAGGCGTAAGCCCCCCGCGACAGAGGCAACGGTCCAAGGCAGACCAGCTTCTCGCATCAGGGGCCAGTCGAAAGCATCGCGCTCAAAGATAGCAGCCAAAACGAAACACACCAGGGAGGTTACTGGCATTATGAAAGCAGCTAGTTCAATTTTGCAAAGCTGAAGTTTAGATTTTTGCATGAGGAACTGCAGCATCACCCAGCGCTGTGAAGCCAACATGAGGGTGAACAGTTGCAATAGCATTCCACGGATCTGGGTGCCAACGGGATGCTCCCCACTATCATGTGAAGCACCGACTGCATGCAGGAGCCCTCCGAGAACCTGACAGCATGCGCTGCAAATCCGAAGACGGTCCAGGTGCTCCAAGCCCCAAAGCTGTGCCGACATCATCATGAAAAATACGCTCAACGAGCTTAGTATAGTTCGAGTGGACACGGACAAGTACTCCAGGGATTTGTTGGACATTCCAATCTCAATTCCCTGGATAACGCCCAGACCAACTAACTTCACGATATCGAGCCAGCGGAGCAAGCTGTTCCTCCGTGCACTCTTCGTGCGCTTACTGCGGCATGCCAATACCGACATCCACCCACAAACTCCATTGGTCATCGCCGTCAAGGCAAAGGGGAACTGGTAGCTGCCATCCCTCCCCACTGTCTGCTTCATAACAACTGTCACAGCAGCGGAGATCGACCACCAGGTAATAACCAAGCCACACATCTGCCAGCGCCAACTCAACGACCAACGTGCGAAACCGTCTGCCGACATCCAGCATGCCAGTCGCCCGAAGAAGTGAGTACGCATGGATTCAACCTACAAAACCTGCACTTATACCAGAAGCTTCTAAGAAAAACCCACGCTCTTGAGTTCTTTCAGCATGCATAAGACTTCATGCTTGCCCGAATTGCGTCCAAGCCTTTGCGGTCCGTGTGAGTCATGCATGCCGTGACATCTCATGCAAGTACCGCTCACTTGATTGGCGGAGAATGCTCGGTTCCCTCACTCCGAGCGAGCCACTGCTGCGTTGCACCATAGCAATTGACATGGGGGTTCGCACCTCTTCAGACCTCTTTGGCAAAACTAGCACACCTCTTACTCAAGTCTTGATACCATGCAAAAAGAATCGGTTCAAGTGTGTGAGGTGGAATTCCGGCGGGAGGCCGATGGTATGCGAAGCCTGACTTCGTAAGGGGTGTGCAATGAGGGTCGCTAAGGAATCCCAACCCGGGAAGAGCAGACTTTTCTCCCTCTCGCTCAAGGGAGGCGACTGGTGGCCTGGCACATGCACGATTCCTTTCGGCCGCTGACAAAGGTGAAGCCAAGCTCCAAGCGCGCATGGTGTCGGGTAAATAGCGCCTCAAATGATTTCACCCGTCGCCCGGTTGTGACTGGTCGACAAGAATATGGCAAGGTATGACAAGGTCGAAACTTGAACATGAAGGCAATTGGAATCAAAGAAGTATGCGATATGCCCGGTGCTCAACTGGGTGCGCATGTCGCGCAGGCATCCATGTCGTCCACGGCACAGGCAGGTTTCAGCTCATGTTCGTAATCTGCACAGCTAGCGACGTGCGGCTCGGAGATCTTGGCGCAAGGCAGAAACTGCGGGAATTCCTGCACGAAACGTGCTCGCTCACCTTGGGCATCGGCTGTTCGTTCACAGTCACAAGCTTTTGCGAGTGCTGTGCTCTAAGTCTCTGTAAGTTACAGTGCGGTACACTGCTACAAGTAATAAGATGGCCGCCCATCGCAAGCTGCATCCAGAATCGTTTCAGGAGAGCCGCGGGCCTTTGAGTTGCAATCAACTGCCCTTCTTCGCGGTTTTTCTGCATGTTCCATGGCAGAATAAGAGCAACAAGTGGACGTAGCACGCGGGAACGTCTACTGGTAGGCAGCCAGCTCAGCAAAGTCAGTTTCTAAGGCGCGGAGCAACCCAGCCTGCAGCAATGCCACATGGACAATCGCTGGAAACAAAAACACGTGTAAGCACTGGGCCAGTTTGGTGGTGTAATCTCCAGCGGCTTCCTGACAACCGCCACATGGCAAACGATGAGATGTAATCATGCAAATTGCCTGTGCTGCCTCAACTTGGAGCTGCAGATGCTGGCGAGACTTGGCTCTGGCTCGCAACTCTGTGCCCCGATACTCAGCAGGATTCCACGGCTGAATGTCCTGATTTCATGAATTCGTGGACACGCCACCGACAATTTGCATAAAGACTCCTGCGGCAGAGCAAGCGGTGGTGGGGGCCTGGATGCAACAGAGCAGCGCCGGCTACAATACTCTGACCTGATATCAAAAGAGGGCCTCCACTCCTCTGCGAGTCGTATCCCACGTGCTGCAACTCCTCTTGCTACCTGCAATTTCGGTGTTCCCTCTCGTTCGGCTGGCGGCATCCGTCCATGGAGGCGCGACAGGATAGGCAGTTTGGCCTCTTGGGCGGGCTTGGACTGCAGTACGACCTGCGTGCATCTGCTACAGCGACGGCACTCTGCCAGATTCTGAGAGCTGGCCGCTGGCTGCCCGTCGCTGCACCAACCACCGCTACGCCGCGCTACGATCCGCTACGCGCTGAGTACCCGTCAGCCGACATAGAGAACCGAAGCGAGAGGAGGAGATCGACAAAGCTGCCGAGCTGCCCGCTAGTAAAGTCTCAAGACTCTCCCCCTTTGATCGTGAAAGTACAGGCGCTTGACGAAGAATCTCGACGTGCTTTGGGCACCATGAAAAGTGTCGCATCCCATTCAATCTGTCTGTGCTACACTCCATTTTTCGCTGGTGTCGGCAAAGAGCCACAGCCCCGCACAAAAGCAGAGCCGACGAATCGTTCCTGAAGCATAGCACAACCTCCGGTGAGCAATGCTGAGCAATTCGATCCTGAGACTTTCTCGGAAAGTGCACCTCTCGTTGCGGCGGTGCACGCGGGGCCGCAGAAGAGATTCAAACTCCCCTAAACAGTTTCGGCTTCCCAGACATCGGTTTCAGTCGATTGTCTGCGCCTGTTCCGTCCCTCAAGCAGGGCAGGCCGCCGATGCGAAAAGTGAGCGATTGCGAACGTTTGGAAGAAGCTACAAGATCACTCGTTGCAAAACTCATTTTGATGTAATATTAGGTTTTCATGCGACTGCAGAACTGAATGTCGGAACAGTCTGCACTAAGGGGTTCCGGCAAACGCGACGAAGACTGCCAATTTGAGGGAAAACCAATCACGGCTCTGCCGAATTAACTTCCACAAGGAGCATTTAGAGATGCAGAACTGCTGGTGCCGGTTCAATCGAAGGAGAATTTCGGGCTATGCTTCAAAGCACCCGGAACTACACTTTATTTAAGCCCTGGAATCAGAAAAGGATTATAGTACACTGAGCGGTTAAAGCGGCCCTGAGATAAGCTGCGTCCCAGCGAAAGGCGTGAGACGAGCTTCGCGAATTTGCGAATAGGGCACTGGCGTTTGGTGAGGAACAGATGGACACGAATGTTTCAGGACTCGGACACCTGGGACTGCAAAGGATTCATTCAGGACATGGGACCCCCGACAGGAGGCTGGGTCGAGATTTCAATGGAGGAACAACAGTTGAAGGTTACGACTAAGTAAGGGAACAGTAATAAACTGTTGGAAACATACATATGCGTCAGTGCGTGCACAGTGGTTGCGAGCGGGCGGTGGGTGCGGTGGGAGCACGGATCACCTGCGCCTTTGCAGGCGCCAGCAGGCAAGTGTGCAAAGGTCAAAAACATGTGGGAAATTATCACTACTGCAAAGGGGTGGGGAGAACGACAGCCAGACCCATTACTTTTATTCAAAAATCGAACCCAATGCGAGCAAGTCTCGCTCTTTGGCACAATCACCCCGCTGTGCGTGTCTGGAGAGCCACTGGGCGTGCAGAGTTGCTGGAGCAGCTGGGACAGCACGGAAACCGCCACCGGAATCGGCGCGAATGTTCACCAAATTCATCCGAAACAAAGGAAGTTTCAGGAATTCGACAGAACTCGTCCGCCCGTTCGTTCTTGGTTGGGTGGGAAAATAGGCATGGGGGCAGCAAGCGAAGAAAGTGCCTCTTTGGCCACTCGCACGGTTCGGATCTTGAAGCATAGGACACCACTAGCATCGGTTGGCTTAACAGATGCAGCTTGCCTGCGTGGCCTCAACTTGGAGCTGCGGCTGCTGACGAGACTTCGCTCTCGATCTCAACTCCGTACCCCGATACTCAACGGCATTCCAGGGCAGCACATCCTCGTGTCACAAAGCAGAAACGCAACTTGACACTGCACGGGCATGTCCGTCTCTCGGACCCGTTCCTTCGGCAAGACCAGCGAAGGTGGTGGCCTCTAGCAGAAGCGCTTGGAAGAGTCCATGAACAGGGGTGCGAGAAAGCCAAACCTGGCCTCCACTCTTTTGCCAGTCGAATCTCACGAGTCAGGGTTCCTTTCGTGGCCTGCACATCACCAGAACTAGCACCCGCGGCTGCTGTCTACGGAGTCTACGCTCGCTCGTCCGTTTGTGCAGACAAGCACACATACTTGGCCTCTATGGCCGCGTTGGCATCAGTTTCCAAGGCCTCCGGTTGCAGCTCCTGCTGGAAGGCGACACGTTCGAGCGAAGCAGCGTGGTCGTTTTGTCAGCGACGGGCTGGTGGCACATGGCAGGGCTGCCAGAGCGAAGGTCCGTGCAGGGCTGCAACCAGAAAGCTTCACTGGAACCGCACCAAGACCATGTGACTGCGAAACAAGTATTGTATGGCGCAAGCGAAAAGCAACAGGAAAACACAACCTTGCCGCATGATGAACTAGAAAGGCCGTCTGCCCGTGCATGCGAACATCGTCCCATGATCTCGATGCCTGACCAATCCTGACCACTGAATGTGACTCTGCCAAGCCTGCGTCTTTGCAGTTGATTTGTCTTCCGTTGAGGTTGCAGTGTGAGCTTCCACCTGCGAGTCCTGGCTGCACAAACCAAGAAGGCTCAGGATGGCTCGGGCCTCGGCCTCGGAGACTGCCAGCTGCGATGTCGCTTCCTACTCCAAGCAATGCCCTTTCGGATCTTGACGAGTTGGCGCATGGGTTCTTTGAACTCGGGTCTCTGAGGCCAGCCTCGAAGTCGACCGGCCTCGACCGAGAAGACAAACATGGATGCCCTGGATGCATGGATAAGGAGCTATGTAAACGCGCCTGTCGCGGTTCCAAGGCTCCTGGAACGAAGGCCGAAGGCATACTCGAAAGAGTCTGTCGGGTTTCCGGTGCGCACCTTCTTGGAAGGCACTCCTGGATTCTCTTCGATTTCAGTTGCTGCTGGCCTCGCCAATGCAGGTACTCCCCTCTCCAGACCTGGAGTGCTTGCTGGCATGGCTCCTTGTCTGCTGTCGAGTTGGGTCTTCAGGCGGCGCTACCTGGCAGCAAAAGGCGGCAGCCGATGCAGACGGTTTCCTTTTACAAGACCTTGAGGTCCGCCATGCCAACTTCGCCCGCTTGCTTTCGCAAGTTGGAAAAAGGTTAGTGCAAAACATGCAGCACCCTTACACGCGCTCTGTCGTGAACCTGGATGCAGTGGAACTAATCCAATTTCAACAGGAACGCCAATACACGCGGTCTGTCAAAATCTTCCCTCGGCCTGCTTTGAAGAGGAGACGTGGGAGCCCGGGACGACAAAAAACATTGAATTGAAGCTATATTGATATAATGTTTACTTGTTAAATCAAGTAATGAGTTAATTAAGACTAAGCTTAAGCTTTTTGTGTTTGTTTGTGATGCTGGAAGCCCTCTGCCGCGTGCCCGGCGCAAGAGGGAAGGAATTGAGACTATGAGGTTGAATACTGTATGATCAAAAAGGGATTGATCGTGGATGCTTTTTTTGGCTCCCGCATGGCAAATTGCGAGGGCTTTACATGGCAGGTTTATGCGTTAGGAGGGGGCATAATGCAAACCGAGCCTGGCTCTGATTGCTTCAACCCAATTTTCAACACAAGCCCTTTGAAGCTTGTGCCACTGTTCCCAGCCCAGCCTCTGCGGCTTTCACTGCTTGTGCAGCCTGTGCATCCGATTTCAATTTCAGAGTCTGGCACCGCAAGCCTTCAGTTTGGGCCTGTTCCGGCTTCTTGCTTGGTGCTTGGCGGTGCTTGGGCCATGCGCTTGTTTCTTTGGATTTGCATTATGTGGACAATCCCGGCCTCATGCTCCGAAGCGATGTGCTGCTTCTCTCTCTCCAGTGGCAGCCTCAGTGAGCCCAAAGCATTCAGAACTCACCGTCTGCTGCACTTTTTCCATGTGTCAACCTTCACATGCGAGAACATGGCTGTGAGCACAACCTTGCAGAGTCCTGCTTTTTTCTCTTTTTCTTGACCTCCTCGCAGGATCAAGCAGTTCAGCCAGTATTGTTAAACATCCCGCAGCTCGCTGTCCTGTGCAGCCTGCTTCTGGCCTTGCGTGCGCACATTCGGCCTCAGCACGCCGTGGTGTTGAAAATAGCACCGTGGCAGCTCCATGGACGAATGCAGCCAAGGCGACACGTCTCTGTCTGCGTCTGGCTCCTCTCTCATTCTCGTTGGAGCCACATTGGGCTCCCAAGAGGTCTCCACTCCGGCTTCGTCCTGCACAACTCCGACTGCTCCTCCTTGCCTCGGTCGAGTGAATGAATGCTCTGGCACCCTACCCTGCGCAGCCGCCTATTGCTGCGCTGCTGAGTTCAAGGCTGTGTTGAGCCATCAGGGCTGTGGCTCTTCTCCTTTCGGTTCTTCTTGCGACCGTCAGGCTCTGCCACCTGAAGCTTTCACCCACCCCCCACAACGCAGAACAACTCTCAGGTTTAGTTTAGTTTAATAAATGGACAGTACGAGGTATACCTCTCAAGCATCGGACATCTGGCGCCCACTCCCAGCACACGTGCTCTGCTTCGCACTACGTTTAACCTCTGAGCTCCTGTCTTGTGGCAGAAACACAACCGTTCAGATCTCTTTCGGAAATCAAGCTGTTGCTTCATATGGTCTGGATACTGTGGTGAACCGGCTGGCACACCTCGACACGAGAACGCATGCAGGCTGCACAGCATACGGCAACAAGCGGAAAATATATAACCTTCGAACCAGCCTGAAAGATTTATGTAAGGCTTTGCGTAAGCTTTTCACCCAAACGATCCACCATGCATGTGGTCATGGGGACCTTAGGGATCGCTCTCGAAGATATCGATGGCTTCATGTGCGACCGCGGAAACCGACACTCGACAGGTGTCGAACGAGGTGATGCCTCTTCCTCCCTGCTTGGGTCGCCTGCACCTTCCCTTGTTCGGCCTCTTGCGAGCGTTCTGGCTTCGGCTGCCTTCGCACTTCCAAGCCTGAACAAATTCTTGAAACAGGTGCATGTCTCTGGACGCTTCCATATGCTTCCGGATGCTGCAAGGTAGCTTCCCATGGCCGACTCCAGGACACGTCGCTCGGGTGATGGAGATCTGATTGCCTGGCCCGGAGTCGTGCTCACTGCTGTTCATTCCGTTTTGCAAAAAGTCGAGGGCACAGTTCTGGCACCGTCATCGGTTCCTGCACCATATGACATCCCGCATGATGAGAAACAGCTGTCGATCAGAAGGGGCGTTGAGTTTAAGTCCTCGGCTGGCTCGTTTCGCGACAGGCGGAGGCTCCTCCGTTGCATGTTTAATCCAAAGCATCGGATGTGGGACCAGCATGGCGACAGGAAGCGTCCTTGAAGCGCTTTCTTGTGGAGCCGTGTCTGAGGTTGAGCTTCGTGAACTCACGGGCCGAGTCCGTCAAGATCAAAACCTCCTCTTTGAATGTGACTCTCCGCCGTTTTGGCAAAGCTTCAGAAATGTCCCCTTGTACATCAAGCCGCTGTGGTCCTGTACTAATAGTGCAGGCTTCGATGCGGATGTCCAGTAGAACACATCTCAAGATCAGTTGCAACTTGCCTTGAACCGCTTTGGTGCCTTTCTGATGCACTCTTGGTATGCTCTGACCCACTTCGACCTCCAAATGCTGATACGCTCGATGAGCTGTCACACTACAGGCCAGGGCAGATGATGTGATTCACTTGCAGACGCATCCTAGGTCCTAGATCATCTCTGGCCGCTTTCCGAATTTCTGCATCGCGGCAACAAAAGGGGGATCTCTTTCGGGTTCGCCATGTCTTGGGCAATGGACAGAGGCAAGGGTGCATCTAATCTTCTCGAAGACAGTGGGTGCTTCTTAAGTTGCAAAGGGAGTCTGAGAACTTAAGCTGCTGAGGCTTTGGTGCCTGGCCTCAGATGCCAAGCTCTCGCTGCTCTCGGAGTCTCGACTGCTCGTCTCGCTGTCGCTTTCACGGCTTGCTCCATATCCGTAGCCATAGCCAGGCATAGCCAGGCTTGGCCCTTGTGTCAGCGCCTCATGCGAGACAGGCTGCCTGGCTTTGCCCAACCGCCATGGCGAATGGATGGACTTCCTGCTTTCGAAAACCAAGCTATCCGAACCTGCAGACTCTAAAAGACAAACCGATTGCAACTTGGTCTTGGATGTCTTTGCGCTTCGTGTCTTCCTCCCTGAAGAAAAGCAGAGCGGCCATGTTGCCCGCTGTTCAAGCTTCAAACTCAGAGCAACTGCCATGACACAGGGGAGCCATGGCATGCAGCGTGCTAGCAGCATGCTAGCAGCTAGCAGGCCATCGGAGCTGCACATGGGCGCGTCATGTTTCAGATTTACGCTTTTGCCAATGAAATCTCTTTACTGTGCTTCGGCCCCTGTTTCACAGGGACGCTGTAGCTGAACATTGAACTGTTTCCAGACCTAGAACCAGCTCTCATTGACTTAGAGTCTGGATGTGAGTAACTTGCCCATTGCCGCCGCTGTTGCTTTCGAAACTGACTTTCAAGGATCTTGTTGGCTCAGGCTTTGGACTTCTTCTTGCCTCGATGTTGCTGCAGTGGCCGTGGCACTGACAAGCGTGGCGCTAGCTCTGAGTTCGCGTCCTGCTCCTTGCCTCAGCAAGGTGCAAGTACGTGCGTCCTCAAACTAGCTCATTTCTTGGCAAACATCCTTCCAGTGAGCCTTGCTTGCTTGCTGCAGGCTTAAGGGAAGGGTGTCACCCCCCAGTGAGTCTCTCACCTTCTCTCTCCCGGTTGCATTGGTTCTTTCTCTCTTGACTGCGGGCGCGGGGCTTTGCTTTGGTCTCGACCTTTGTCTCTTTTACTTCTTTTGTTTCCTCCTTCTTGGGCGGCAGCTCATGCCTGCCAGAGTGCATGATCGGTCCCTCGGAGCCTGGAAGCAAGACGCCTCCATTGACAATTCTTGTCTTTGCAGGAGCCATGCTTGATGAAGGCATAGCACAAATCCCATTTGTCGGTAAACTTGGCACCTCGGAGTGTGTCACGAATTTCGATCCTTGCTACCGGAAGGCACCGGCTATGGCGCTGGGTCGCACACTGAGGCGTTCTCGACGAGCCTTTTCAGCGTGTTGCTTTGTCGACCGAGGCATTGTGTCAGTATGGCAAGCAGCACTCTTCCTGGCCTGTTCTATTCGCTCTGCTTTGCTCTCCACAGCTTGCTGGCTGACCGCAGGAGCCTGTCACAGTTCTCATGAGAGGATCCGCCAATGCTGCATGCTCGGACAAATGCAGCTCACTTTATGCTTGAGCCTTTCACGGATTGATGCTAGCTGCCAGAGACAGGAAACATGTACAGCAGCCACTACGGTAGGGTGGACATTCGCGCAGTTGGCAGCTTCGTCTTTGAAAAAGCTCGACTTTCAGCGCGCAACAATCACAGGCCATGGGAGATTCAAGATGAAGTGCTGCAGGGGCCCCAAGGAATGAAGCGCTTCAGTGCGCGTTGCAGCCAAAGTCAATGCACTTATAGCTGATCATAGCGCATCGCTACTCGAGGAACTGAAGCAAGGTCACCCCGCAGCCTGCTTTTTGGCAGGGGCTGCTTTGTTGACATGGCTGCTCTCGCCTCGCCAGACTCGCCAGTGTTGCAGGGTGCCCCGGATGGTGCAGGCATCCAGTCTGTGCCGGCAAAAGTCCAAGAATGCGACGCTCGCGTGCGAAGGCGGTGGGGCCATGTTGGGTCAGCCACTCGACCGCCTTAACCATGACCTGGCAAAAAGTCTCTGCTCTCCTGCTCTCTATCACACCCTGAAACAGAGATGCAAAGCCTGCCTCGGAGCCTTCGAGGTTGTGAAGCTCTGTGCGCAAGGTCCTGGGAGACATGGCAGCCACCACTACAACAAGCCGCTCTACATATTGCATTTCCATGAACCGTACAGTCTGAAGCAAGTGTCCCTTGCAGACTTTGGAGTGCATCTCGCACCCAAACAGGCGCACCTGTATCACATGCCAATGTCGGCTGATTCTCAAGGTTCGCCCTGTGAGAAGCAAGGTAACTGCGGCCTTCATCTGCTGCTTTCAAAGTCAGGCTGGGTTCGTGCAGCGGGTAGAACCTGCGTCGGCAAGCAAACCATGTCACCACATCAAAAAATCGCTTGCTGGGAATCTCTGGGATTGCTGCGGTGGCAGAGAAAACTCCAAGTAAACCTGGCCCAGACTTGTCGCACAGCTGCTCGCGGAGCATGCAGGAAGGGCCGTGACTGTACACCCACCGTTTGGCCCGTCCACGTGCTGTGCGACCTGGCAGCGAGAACATCTCCACCATCAGCATCAGCCAACGTCAGCCTCACCCTCTTCAGAGTACGGTCGAACTTTGTCTTACTCGATTTCGCGTTTGCTTAACTTATCTGAAAAAGCTTGCAAATAGGCTTGCAAGGAATGCTGCTTCATCTACTTTACCCTGTCCTACTGAACTTCGCTTGCTTCCTTGTTGTTAACAGGGATTGAACGCTTTACTGTAAGTTTTACGGGGCCCTCAGAGTATACCGGCTGTGGGGGTGGGGAGGAAGGTGGGGCGCAATTGCTTGCCGCGAGCCAACACCTTACAGGTGGTGCGGATGCGGACGATGCAACGACGTCTTCATGTCTTCCGGAACCTCCGCGACGAACCGAAGCCGATGCTCGGCCTTCCTCGTCCCTGCCCGTCTTGGTCTTCTCTCTCTTTTCGCCTTCCCCCCTCCGCCTGATGACGAATCCGGCCCGCCCCCTGTCGCGGCCTTCCGCCTCGACATCTCCTTTCTCGACTTCGCTTCAGCACACAGGTCGGACTCCTGACCACTCGGCCTTCGGCCAGGTGCACATGACTTTCCAAACGGGTAAGCTGCACGGCTTGCACTTCAAAATTCCAGCTACTCCCGGCGCCACTGTCCACCCTTCAGCGTTTATCCGGGGGGATAAACTCGCAGTGTCGCCTGCGCCTAAAGTAGGATTGACATGGCAGACAGCGACCTGGCCAAAAGCCACAAGTTCTGGATCCCTCGGGTGCAGAGAAAGCAAGTATACAGAGCCCGCGTCGTTCAAGAAAGCCTGTGAGAAGAACGTCAGTACCCTGGATTATTGACACTCGACTCAATCTTCTAGCTAAGAAAACATGTGGGCGGATATTTTTCCATTGTATTCGATTATTCCGCGGGCCTGCTGCAACATCAACGCGAAAAATACATGAGATTAAACCTCAGTCCTAAGCCGATTCACCACTAGACTGGAGGCAGGGCGGCATTGGATCTGACGAAATGAGCGGGTACACAAGGATTGGTGCGTACAAAGGGCAGTAACTTGCAGTCAGTCATGTAACGCGAGCTGAGGAAGCGTACATGTTGAAGTGGTGTAAGCTGCTGTTAGCGATACTTTCTCCAAGCGGGAATCATGAAAGTCAGAGTTCGTCTGAGCTTGCCGGGACAACCACTGACTTTGAAAAAGGCTTGAGCTAAAGGATCTTCCCCGGACTCTTGAACTGAAGCTCCGTACGTCTCTTGAAGTTGTTGAACCAAGAAGATGGATGCGCAAACTCGCAAGTCCTCTCCGAGCGGCATCTGGCGCTTAACAGCACGTGCAGGTGGGCGGCTGAGGAGATGACCACGAGAGAAACGACGCCATTTCAAGATCGACGCGACGTGCAAGAGGCAGCTGCAGCAAACCGCGAAGGCTGCCAACAAACCAAACGCAACGCAACCAGGAACAGAAAAGGTACACAAGGCAGTCTGCACGAGTGTCAACGGACCACCAACCAACCGGTAGCATCTCGCCTGCATGCACGCGCGGAACCACCCGAGAAACGAGGAATCTATTAAAAATGGACGGGGTAAAGCGGCAGAACCCGGGTGCGATGACGCATCCTGCCTGGGTCAAAGGCAACTATGACAACTGTAAATTTCGGTTGAGTTCAGAGCCGGTCAACTCCCCAAGCCCAAAGCCGTCGCCCTTCAGGTCCTATCGGCAGGCGGGCCTGGCCTGGACTCGCAGGGGATCTGGTCTGCGACTGACAAGCCCATTGGAGAGACACTCCTGGCGCCACATGACTCGACATGGCCGGCTGGGCAGTCCATGCCCTTGCCTGCAAATGTGCTTGCACATCTTGCGTCAGCACTTGGCATTCGTCCGGAAACATGGCCGAGACAACCTCACAACGGGAACATTTCAACCCATGGCCACAAGAAGATGCAAGCAAGGTGTGTCCAGTCTCTTCTTCACTGGCATGACTCTTTGTTACAACCGGGTCCACCAAAGACAGAGCAGTTTCTATGTGTCGATCTGGCTTTCCGACCAGGAACACGGTGGACGGATCGTGGAGATGCTGAGGCTGAAACATCAATCTCGGTGAGCAGGCGCTCGTGCAAGTCCGGAGTAGCCCATTCGGGAACCCAAGCCTGCACTTCAGAAGCTCTCAAAGTGTTTAGTGTGCTGATGCCCTGACAAGCCATGTTTGCTCTTCCGTTGCCTCCACTTCCAAGGGAGGAGGAATGTGGTCGTCCTTGTTCCATCAACCAACGAAGTTGTCAGTTAAAGAACCTCTCCTCGCCCCCTCGCCCCCTTGCATCTCTCACAAGGTCTCGTAGGCACAGGGACAGCGCGCAGTTTTTAGGGAATCACCGTGTCACAACGTCTGGACGGGCCTCTTGGTGATCGTCGCCTTCACTGTCCTCCCAGAGCTGACTCGGATTTGCAAGCTGAAGATCTCCGACAAGCCCATAAACCCATTTGCGAGTTGCCGGGCATTGCCGGGGTAAGGATTTCTGAGCCACTCCGGTAAGGACTCCAACTTCGCAGACTGTGTTCCGATCATCACGTGGCAAACATGGGCTGTTCTCGGGATGTTCTGCCAGTGCGGCCTCGTGCAACCTGGCACCAGACGACATAGCAAAGGGTATCCCAAAACGACTGTTCTGCATCAACAAGAAGCCACCGGGCTCCTGCGTGATGCTGTCTTTGCCTCTCTCTGCCAGAAGCTGCACGATGTGTCATGCTGCTTCATATGGGCGATTTGTTTGTGACGCGTCTTGGTTTCCTTCTTCCTCTATGCAGGCAAGCTTTTTGTAACAACACGGACGAAGTATGCTCCTGTAGCTATAGTCAGTCAGTCAGTCACCAGATACACTTGGTGAGAAAAACCACTGGAGTTCTCTGCCAGCACCCTGCATGCATGCCTCAGGCCCGAAAAGCCGACCAAGAGGAAAACGGGGCTGGCTGCTGGTGACTAGCGCGTGCCCATGCCCACGCCCTCCTCGAGCTGAGTAGACAGCCGCATCTGAGAAGAGCCGGCCTGCCCGCCGACACGGCCTGAGCGGGACAGCAGCGACGGCTTCAAAGCGTCCCATCTCAACCCTTGACTGAAGCCGCCGAGGCCAGGCAAGAAACACTGCCGTGGCCACTAGACCCTTCGTTCATATCCCTTTCCATACAGGAGAAGACTTCAATCGGCTTCAATGCAAGCTAATTTGATGGCTTCCTGCCACGTTTCAAGCACAGCTTGATCTGAATAACCTCATTCACACCTCGCCTTCTCCGGTGGGCTCTGCACGGGCACGTCCAGTGACGGAAAAAGTGATCTGAAGAGCACCCAGAGCGCAGAACAAGTCTTGGTCTGTCGGAGGCATGACGCACACATGCACATGACCTGCGCTCGATCACCGCGACTGCGGGGCAATCTTGCCTTAAGAGGTCTGATGCTCTGACTCGCAATCGGACATGCTCGGGCTAAGCCAGAAACTGCCCTGGCCCGGCGAGGAGCTGATGCAGACTGGAAGCAAATGGCAGCATGTCATCAGCTCACACTGAACTACCTGTAGCGATCCTCGGCGAGCGTAGGGTCAGTGGGGCCGAAGAGTGGTTCATCCTCATCCTCCTGGCTGAAAGTGTCTGGGGAAGCTGGAGGGAATAACTTTACAAGGCAAGACTGCAGCTGTCCTCGTACTCTTCATCGAATTCCGTGTCGTCTACAACCTGCAGACCGCCATCGTTATGAACGGTCCTGGCGCAGCGGCACGGATGTGGATTCCACATTTGCTTGAAGTCGTCTGTTTCTCTTAGCTGCCCAGTACCTTGGCCCAAAAAAGTTTAAACTTTTCTTTTAGTAGGGGTTTAATCTACGAAAAAAGCTTAAAGTTTACCTATTGGGCTCCTAAGTTCTAGAGCTGCAGATGCTGCAGTACTCCGTAGCTGCAGTACCGACCGTCCTTCGGGTGCAAGTGCGGATGCGCCTGGCGCCAATCAAGCTGGCTGCTGGGGTCAGGGCATGCTACTTCAATGCTGCTGCGCCTCTCCGGCTGTATGGAAGCTGGTTCCCTGCCGGAGTCCTGACTCGCGAACCGCTTCCAAGTATCTCTGGAACATGTTGAAACCCTTCGAAAACAGACAGCGGTCCTGGGATGAAGCTCCCAGGACAGGCCTGAGTCTTGGTATGGACTGTCGACAACATGCGACATTGCATCGTGTAAAGGCGACCGCCAGTCTGACGCTGACTGCTCCGAAGCCTGCCAGACAGACAACTTCCTATAAGCCTGTAGCATCCTTCATCCTAGATCCTCATTCCAGCCGTGGTGAAACACAAGCAGTCCGTTTGAGCCAAGTTCCTCAGAAGGGCAAGCGGGTGTGGGGCTCAGGTCAGCAGCCGCAGTGATTCCATAAGGAAGCTTAAAGTCTGCGCTGGGAGCGGCATGGGCAACTCTATTGGCCACTCAGCTTGCTCTTCCAAGCGGTTACAGCATGTTATGGGGATTGTATCTTCTGTCAGAGATGCTTGGAGAAGATCGCAAGAATCCGCCCACAAGAAGTAAACGAAGCAATTCCTCACGGCAAAAACTCGACATAGCCCATGCGACTGCCTGCAGGGCATCAGACTCTGCTCCTTGGCGCAGTTGCTCGATGCAGTTGCATCTGGCACTCAAGGACATGAAGGGACTAAATCAAGGAACTGCCTCGCAAACTGATAGGCCGAACTAGCTGACATACAGCAGGGCTCCCAAACTGAAGTATGAACTGCATGGACTTGTGCGGTCTCGGTTTGGGGACTATCGCTTTGTGTCTGTGTATTCCCCGCATTCTCAGAACTGGGCCTGGCTCTGGTGTCGCCTGCCATGCCTGTACGCTGAAACAAGGGACTTGGTGGCCTGTGGCTCCAGCCGGGGGCGCGGCTGGTTGTGGAACGTTCCTTTCACGAGCCCAAGGAAGGCCCCAGTGACCCCTGAAGTGTCAGATTCGAGTGGAGCCTGACTGAACGAAAGTCGAAAAGGCTGCGTAGCATCGAAGCTGCCTGCCAACATCCGAGGCTTGGGCTCGTGACCGGCTACTGATACCCTTTGCATCCCTTTGCCTCCCGCTCCAGAGCAGCCATTCTTACAGCAGCTGGCCCTTCAGCCTCATTGTTGAAGACATATGACGGGCACATGTCCACATCCACGTGTGGCCGCGCTTGCTGCCTGTGTCGTCGTCTTCACTGCATTTGCGAGGTCGAAGGCATCTGCCACCTGCGGAGCACTTGACCTCTTCAAAAGAATCTCTTCAGCGAGACCGAGAGCTTCGCATGCACAGCGGGACAGCCATGGGCGCAGATGTACTCATCCAGGGATCTGCATTCGCCTGCGGCAGCTCCAATTTTTGCCTGCTCGTGACTAATGTTTAACCTAAACTTTTTGAACCCAGGCTCAAATCCTGCATCAGCTGGGAAGCAACCAACATTAGGTTAACGACAGCCACAACTCAAAACGTAGGCAATGTGCCTCGGGATAGTTCTCTTCGGTTTACGGGGTCAATGAGCTGACCGCTCGAGACCAGAAATGAGGCGAGAAACCTGCAAGCAGGTTGCTCACGCTTTCTGTGAGTCAAACACCCTCACCACATCTGGGTTCGCCTTCCGTCGAACCAGTGAATCACCTGATTTGGATTCGTGCCTCAGCTCAGGCTGAATTGGCTGAACTTGAGGCAGCACGGGAAGAATTCGAACTTCGGCAGTGACGAAGCAGGTCTTCTGCAGCTTCGCCCCAAATCCCTTCCTTCGGCACCTGCCATGGAAGGGATCGCGGTTTCCACATTCCTACCCTTCTTTGGCTAAGACTGGGCCTCTGCGGACTCCGTCGTGCCCAGCCTTGGCGGCTTAGCGCAATGAGTTGAGGACTTTTCTGACGGCAAGCGCGCAGCCAATCCACTGCAAGCACTGCAGCTTGAAATCAGCGATGCATTTGTGCTCTGTGTGCTGGGCAGTCCAAACGGATCCACCGGTAGCTCCTGTCAATGAAGCTGCCTACTGCCTGTCACGGCTCCCCTTGGACACTCGATTCGACGTTCAGCCCTGCAGCAAATGCTCGCTCCCCGTGTACTTATAGGATGTTCGCACTATTGATCTGGAAACTTCATCATTATCGGCTTTGTGCCCGTCCTTCATCAAACTCAGCTAATGCAGCCTGGTGGGGGTGACACATCAAAAAATGACAAGAAATAAACAAACAAAAAACCACGGTAGCCATCAACAAAAATTGCTAAGCATCTAAAAAATATTTGATAAGAGGGTTTAGGCTTTAGACGGTAGCCATCATAAAAAAACTTCATAGTCATCAAGAAAAATGCATGGAGGGTTTAGGATTTTTCAAGGTGTTTCTCAACTTTTTTTAAGATGCTTATCAATTTTTTTGATGCCTATGCCCAGCCTGGTGATGTGGCCCCGGGCAAAACGATTTCGTCATTGCTCGACAGCGTCCCGAGCAAAAGCAAACTCTCAGCACAGATGACTTCAACGATGAACTTACCAAGGGGGAAACGGTCCAACAGTGATCGAACACAGAAGTTAAGAATCAGAAAACGGAGTTGGACGATTATTAAAAGCACTCGCGGGCCTTTTCGATCCATGTGAAGCCACTCGGCACCTTCTAGTTTTGGTATTGGCTTTGGGAGCCTGTGGGCTATCGTCGAGTCTACACCGAAACCCGGAACTTGCCAACTATCATGTCGCAATACCTCTGCAATCAACGCGCCAGTTGGCACACATAATAAAACTAATCTCAGGGATGATCGTGCTATTGGCTCCCATGCTGATGCCTCCCAAACAATTGAAGGCAAGCGCTGGGAGTATGTCATGTGGCAACACCGAATCGTGGCAAAAGCGGAAATTCGATTCGCTTGCGTTTGGAAACCAAATCGTACCCTAGTCGAAATTGGATTCTGGGCTTGAAGGTTTGCTGGCCACCGGCACGGACCCCAACTCCGATTCTAAGGCTGCGCTGTCAAGAACGCAAGCACTTTGCAGAAACACTTCGTTCAAGCCAAACCTTCGGCCCCAGGCTGAAGGAACAGAAGTGGTCGCAATGCTAGACTATGCTAACAACGAAATGCCCGATTCGGGATCCTGCAGTGGCTGCCTGGAAGATGAAGCGAAACAAGTATTTCAATTTCCTACTTAGATTGGCATTCAGCTTCTCCACCACGGCAGTTGAAACCCCATGACTTCGCAGAAGCTGTGGTTGAATCTAAAGTACTGCCCAGTGCATGGCAACAACTACGTTTGTTTTCCTCTTGCGTGGCTGAGATCTATGCTCAGAGGCGAGGCTTCTTTGGCGTGGATGACCATGCAAGTCAACTCTCAGCACTATCCCAGTACATCAGAATAATTTGACCGAAAGTCCGATTCCAACAGGTGACTAATTACAGTCGTCAGGTGTCGTTGTCCTCAAAACACTGTAAGGGCCATCTCGGCCTAGTCGTGCCTTAAGCAGTCGTCTAGACGATCCTTCTCTGAAATGCAACAAAAAGTGCCGACTTTGAATTATACCTGCTTTCAGTACACTGCTTGATTGCTCAGTCGGCGACATCAAAGATATGCAGGAATCACAGCGCAGAGCAGAAACCCCCAAGATCAGCAAGGGAGGCAGACATGAAGTCACAGTTGATTCCCAGAAATCCTTGGCACTATCATCGTTTAGGAATGCCCAAAACGAGTTGCAGAGCCCTCCAGAACTTGAGTCTTGCACCAACCTGTATGGTTGCCAAGTTCATCACGAGCTCCTCTGAGTAGGCCGAACACTACAGAAAGCTCTTGTTCGGAACAAAAACACAGACCCCCGTTGCGGTGATGGCAAGAGCTATGTTGTAGAATACAACCGTGTGAGCGTCGCTATCCATCAAGAGAGGGCCGGCATGGAGTCATGACTCCGCTCTGTGCCACAAAGTAAGCCCGGAATAACAAAACAGTCATCCCCATCAGACTGTCGGGCCCATTGCCAAAATGCACAGCGCGATGGCAGGACGTGAGGCAGTGGATAGCTCCCTGACTCAGCAATTCCGCAATACTTGTCTCATATGCCGTGCAAGGTTTGCGCTCCTCCATCCAGCTGTTCCTGAAAAACAAAGATAAGCCCACACAGCCATCAGTCAGAGTATGAAAATGGTGTGCGAGGCAGCAGATTACCCACTGGCTCAAGACGCCCGCCACATAACATCTTGGTAAAGTGATTCAGCCTGCGCTAGGGGCAGAAAAGGACAAACGTGACAGCGGTGTTCGAAGTAGACTTACCCAACATGTCCCCCCACATTGTCAACGGTGATCCTGCTAGCGCTCGAGGCAGAAGAAAGTGCGAGCCCATTCGAAACGAGCAGCTCAGGTGTCAAAGGCAAAGGGCCATGGCGAGGTACTTCGCCAAAGAACCCCGAAATTCAGTAAATGCAAATTTAAGTAGTGAACAAGTAAAACCGACTCTGGCAGATGGGAACGGTCGGTGGCAAAGGTCTCCAAAGAACCCTGAAATTCAGTAGGTATAAAACAGCAAACCCGACTCGGCCAGATGGGAACGGTCGGGTGTGAATGGTGGCACAAACATAGTGCGGTGTGGTTCCGTGGAAGCAAGAAGGGCCTACTTTTATTTGATTTTGGGGCTTTGAGGCCTGCAGGTGCATCCAGAGTCATCAGCAACATCACACCATCCCATCAGATTCTAAATGTCGTCAAGACTGTTGCTGGCACTTGCAACTTCTGTAGTTGCTAGGTCTTCGGATTAGCTGAATAGCACGTTCAACAAGATCCTAATCTGGTTCCAACTGTGCAGCAGTATTTTTGACAAGCTGCTGCAGGCAGTCCGTCCTCCAGTGACGTGAGAGAAATAGGGCAACAACAATCGCTGGGAAGTAGAGCTTTTAGCCTGCTGCTGTGTTCAACCCGCTTGCAGTCTGCTGATGAAACACGTACCTGGCCGGGCATGGGTGCGGCTTGGGCTTCGGTTTCAGCCTCAGTTTTGTGCACACGTGCACAAATGCTAGCTACGCTGGCACCGAGGCTCGGGCGGCCCTGCAACCGTTGCCGAAGCTTTAGCAGCTGATTTGGCTGCAGATGACGCCGACTGGCCAGGCCCTGTCAAGTAGCATAAATTGTTCCTTGATGCCTGGTCACTAGAGTCTACAACCTCCAGCGTTGTGCACAGAACCCGATCTAGTTGAGCCCAGCACGCCAAGAACAGATCCGGTAGGTCTGCGCCTGCACCTGGTGATGATCTTTGCTGTGCAGGAGGCACTGCCCGAGTCTTCACGACCTTGCAACAAGTCAGAAAGTGTTGCTTGCTATTGTGAATGCTTCGTCGTCCTTGAGATGCGCGCACTCGCCGCACCAGTTGGGTAGGCCGGGCTAGGGGGCAGTTGCGACTCCGCCTGCAGGGAGGCTTCGAAGGACCCACCACCCAGAAATGCCAGGGTCGTGTTGCAATCACGGAGGGACCCGAACTTGTTCCGCACCCAAGCCATCTCCATCGCTGTATGCCATGAAAGAAACCTCGGTGAGACAGGCCATGCCCATGCACTCGGGCCGGAGCCCTGTGTGGCAGTCGAATTTACCCGAGCTGCAAATAGGGCAGTGGCGCGGGCATTCTCCGTGAGCTCTTCTCGCCCATCAACATCTGAAATATGCACCTGAAGCATATGCTAAAGCTTTGCCAAGAAGAAGCAATTTCACCCAGTGCCCTCCAATCTGTGCCGAGACAGTGGCATAGATACGACCGCCATGCTTTGCCTTGGCCAGCGACACATACTGATCCTCGAAAAGAGGGTCCCATCTATGGCAGGTGTGCTTCGCAAGCTGGCTCCGAGTGTACTTGTTCCATAAGAGTCCATAATCATAATTGTCCTTTCCGTGTCACAACACTCGAGGCCGCAACACTTTCCTGATGGTTGATACGCTTGTCTGCACGTATCCACCCAAATCGGCCTTTCCAGCTCAACACCTGGCTCGCAGCACAAACAGCCCTGATTGCCTTTACTGCAAGCTCGTGCCGAAGGGGCAGTTCCCAGCAAGCGGCTCTCGCTAACACGGACCCGGGACCTTCAGATGTCACATGATGTCACAATGCATGGACATTTCTGCGACATCCACTCAGTCTTTTCCCTGCGACGCTATGACCGCTGCCCCATCCTTCTCTGACCTTGCGAGCATTAACACAAGCCAGAAGCAAGGGATAGCCGCACCATGCCTTAGGCCTCAGCAAAATCAAGGCTGCTTGCGCGGGTGCTGCAATCTTGTCATCACGGCCAGGGCTATATCAGCATCAATTTGTCGGCTGAAGGGCTGATCTTCAAAAACGACTTGCTTTCTGAACACTGGCTTTCCTCTTGAACCAAAACTTTCACACTTCAGATATGAGACTGCCGTGCAGGTCGGCGGAAAAGTCGGAAACCATAACGACTGAATCGGCAACCCGAATGACTGAGTCGAAAACCATGACGGCTGGTTCGGAAACCCAGGCCGACTGATCAGGAAACCACACCGGATGATTCGGCAAACACAACGGCTGATTCGGGAACCAGACGCATCATGCGGAAACCAGAAGCCTCGATTACCGATTGGGCCATGGATGCTCCCTTCTCAGAACGCAGTCGACCATGACGTCATCATGTTACATGTTCGCGAGAGCCATCGCTGCTCTCTTCTCAGAACGCCTTCGACCGTGGAAGTTATCATGGTTGGCCCCCTGGATGCTCTGCGAGCAACGATGGGATCAGGGTGGATCTTATCATGCCCACCAACCCATCCACCCCACCCCAATCCCCACCCCCGCCATTGCAGCCTCGTTGCCAAGCTCCTGTGCGGGTTTCCAAGCTCCAGTTTCTGACAGCTTCCGGCGCGCGGCGGTTTCCGATGGGCAGTTCGCGCCTGTGCAACTGTTCCGCTGTGCAACCTTCGGCAACGGCTGGAAGGAAGGAAGCCCAACACATGATTCGCAACATGCCTCAGCCACGCTGTTCAAGGAGTGCACTGTGCATTGTGCACGGCCAGCTAGCGCCTTACCGGAAGAATAGATAAGACATCCTGAAAGCGCCAAGCCAGGCCCTCGCAGCTGATCGAGCAATCAGGGTCCAATGACGTCACATCCAAGCCAAAAGCCCGGACTCGCTTTTGATCGCGCTGGGAAGCTGCCAAGCTGAAGGTTGTCATAGATTAAGTCAAGGAAGACGCATTTTTGCGTTCGTGATATCACATGATGCTTGTCGAGAACGTTGCAGACATGACTTCGGCTTGCCAGCGGTTTCCTGACGTCCGAAGATGCCAACGGCCTCTACGGTTCCACGCGCTGCTTCCCCGGCTGCTAAACCCGCATGAAGGACTCTAGTCACTAGAACTGATCTCTGCTGGGAGTGCCTCGAGTTCCCCAACCGATTCTTTTCCAACCGCTGCAGAGGCGAAATGTATGACATACTCAGGCTACTCAGGCGACAGCATAGGATACGCGAATGTTGCCCTGTTTCGCCTGAATCTTCTTGATGGAGACCTTGAAGCCAGAGACACTTTGTGCTCCAGTGAGAGACGATACTCTCTTACAGCCTGCCTCGCCGATCTCTCCAGAGTGCTCCACATGCGTACCACCACACCCACAGAAGACACCATCCTGGGAGTCCACAAACTTTGACCCCCGACAGAAAAGGAAGCAGGCGCACCATTGCGATCATTCGCACACCATCCACGAACTCGATGCTTGTGGCGACCTGTTTCAAGCTAGCTACTGTAACAAGCACCGTGCAGCGCACAAGCGACGGAGGCCACTAGCAATCACTAGCAAGTATTGAACAGGTCGACAGCATCGCACGGGAGAGAACAGGCAGGCCGGGCCGTCCGCAAACAGAATCTTGGAGTGCTGATGAAGCGCAAACATGTGGAGGCCAAGCTACAACACAACACAGTTGTTGATCAGAGGGTGTCCCCCGAATCGACGCTATCGTTGCCTGCCAGCGCGCCTCGCAAAGTCCGATTAGTTATGGTGTTTAGTAGCAGCGACATCTCGAGCCGGAAATTTTCAATACGCGAACAGAAGCCAGGGGAATGTAGAGGGGCACGAGTCCCCGCCCACCCCCCCCCCCTCCCCCCGCGCACCGGCAGGAACTGTCACGAGCAGCAGCATCGTCCATCACCTCCGTAGCTGCCTTCTGGAATGAGGGCTCTTCTCCGACGCTTGCGGCCGAAATGCCAAATGCAAGCTTGCTTAAAGAGGTTTGTTTGGAAAAAAGCTTCGGATCTGAGGTTGCTGGTGAATTCGTAGGCTTCCGTCCTGATGCTGCGGAACCGTGCGATTGATGGTAAATGAGTACATGGAGTGTCCTAAGTCCCGGAAACTTGAACCGGGTGCGATGCCTTTTTGTCGACCAGCTCCTTCATCTTGGATGCCTTGGGCTGCATACCCATGATGCGCGGGCTTGTGCATTCAGTGTCCAGTGAGCTGCCGGCCAGCTCCTGCATCACTAATTCCTTGGCTTTCGCATCTTTCACATCGAGCTGACGCCCGTCCTGGCACAAAACATGCCCGTCAATGCGTAGGAGGGTGTGTGGCAAGAGTTGACAATGTGGCCTGGGACGGTAAATACTCCACATATGGCCTGGTGCGGGCTGTTTGCAAGGTCTGCTGCACTCCAATCCAGACTGCGCTTGTCCGAACAGACGAGGATGTTACGCGAAGGTGGGCCGAAGTCACGCACGCCCACCCGCGCAAGCGGGGTGCATGTGCGCGAGCTGGGCCCTTCACCCATCTGGGAAGTGATAGCCTTTGCCTGCATCATGTCAAGGCTTGCAATGGCTTGAAGTCAAGTCGATCTATCAGGCAGGAAAATGGATTGCATCTAGTTCATCCAGTTGTTCGCCAATCATCCTTCCAAGGTGTGCTGAAAAACTTGTCACAGAAGCTTAAACGTGTCAGCTCACAGTTTGTATCACACAGCAGCAGCATGCACGGAGCACCTGGCTTCCAACGAAAGCCCAAAGCCATCATGGCAACATCCTGACGGCACTGTGGCTTCTTCCGCTAGTTCAGGACATGTAAGGAAGAGAAGAGCGGAGAGCATTTGCCGCAGAAACGGACAGGACAGCACAGACAAGGCTTTTGCCGCCGATGCTGAGCAACATGTTGAATGGGAGCTTCTCAACTTCTCAGTCTCGAGCTTACGCGAATATGCACATCCCACATTTCTCGCTGGACATGCGGCTGCCGGTGCTACGATGTTTCTGGTGATGATATAGTTCATTCTAGATTCTAGATCTGCCTTCCGTTTGTTATCCGTTTCTCAGGTCTCAGCAAGATGCGAGGCACAATTCACACAATGCCGCGGATGAGGAGCGAACCAGCAGGTGTCCAGCAGAATGTAGTCTAGCATGAAGACGCCGTCGAGGCTCGTCGACGTTGCAAACAACTTCCAGACCTTCTCAACTTAGCGTGGGTCGCATACTGAGCTTGTCGAGGGTGTGCCTTCTTTGCCCAGCCAGGTCTGAAAATCACCTGCCGGGTCCACAGAAGCTGCTTTCGAAGGAGAAACTTCAAAAAGCTTGCTCGACCTCTGCATTCATGCCAGAGTACTCCTGGATCCACCTTCGACTCCCACCACGGGTATCAGTCAGTAGTTCTTGGAAAACTTAGATTTGGGGAGGCTGGGACTGCGCAACGGCGCCAAGGTCGAGGGCTAGAGAGGCTGTCGAGCCTCAAAATTTGAGAGGTTCGACCTCGAAAGCTTGAAAGTTTGAAGGGTTCGAACTCGAGAGTTTATGAGCCGGTGCCTCTGAGAGTTTGAAGGACAAGGTTTGAGTCTAGATCGGGAGGCCGGCACGTTCGTCACAGGTTGCGAGGGACAGATTTTGCAAGGGCCTGTTGCATGGGGAAACTGAACTACGTCTCGACGGTTTAGAGCCTAAACCAAGCCCCCGAACAACCAAAACATTCGACGCCAAACAATACAACTCCGAAACACCACAGGCTCAACTTGAAGCCCAAAAGTCGGAACAAACCCCTGAGACTGAAGCTAAACAGAACACACTGAATGATGTTAAAAGCTACGAAGCTCGTCAGCGACTCTCGAACCAACTCGCTAAGGAAGTAGCCAAATGAAGAAAATCAATCCCATCCAAACTCCAGGCTGAAAGCGTTAACAACTCTTAGTGCGACATCGCTCAGGGTTGAGTCAGGATTTACACTGTATTGGGCTGTTGGGTGAAGCGTTGCAACTCTTCGGGCGTTATATAATTTATGTGCTCTGCAGCAGCCGCAAAACCCGAGCCAGTACGCAACAAACCTGAGTCACACAAAATCCTTCGCCCTGAACCAAAGCCGAAGATGTCAGGACCTATCCTTAGCTGTTTTTCGACGGGCCGATCACTACGATATGTGCCGAAGGAGTGGATGGTGCTCAAGATGCTGATATGCAGCAATGGCATTTGCTGTAGTAGAGATGAGTAGAGCTGGATGTTCGTTCCCTATGTCGCGCTCACGAAGAATACTCAATGAGGGATACTTGGAATATGTTGTCTGCATTCCTTGCGGGCTGTGCCCCCTCCTGTGGCGCATTCGAACTGTCCCGTTTCTGATAATTTGCAGGGCTGCACAGCTGGAAACGGACGGATCCTCAGATTCTGTTCTCATGTGGCGCCATATTGAACATTTGCAGAAGCTGCAACTCGCGAAGGGCACTGCGCCGAGAGACATGCCTGTAACTTCGCTTCAGTGCGCATTCAAACGACAACCGTCTCATCGCTTGCGACAAAGTGCAAAATCAGATCGAGCCAGATCAAAGCGCATCCTGAAGCAGTATGTCACAAATGAGACCTGCAATTCACATCCTCAGCTTGAGGATAAGATGATCTTGTCGGAGGCAGAGTGACACCAAGGGGCCCCGGGGGGGAGGGGGAGAGGTTGGCGCCGATATCGCATCTGAGTCGGTCATTGAATCTGAATGTCATTGGAAGTTGGACTCCCAAATCAGGCGCAGCCTTCGTAAGTGGCCTTTTCGCCACGCAGAACGTGAGGTTGCTAACGGCAACTCCCGCAGGCTCCAACAGAGCAAGCTTTCGTGATGAGTGTAGTGCTTCAGATCGTCCGCCGTCAACGTGCATGAGTCCGATACACATGCACCCACAGGCACCAGCAGAGGAAGTCCAGCAAGCCAGAAGAAGCTGTTGGTGGTTCGCGGCAGGCATTCCACTCCTATGTCGCCAACGCGGATGCCCTAGACGGGAGACGAACTCTGCATTCGGCGAGGCTGTTTCGACCACATCATGTCGTTGAATTGACTGCGAGGTCCTAGCAAATGAAAAACAGCAGATCCTGCTGCTCAGACTCTCTGGACCCGTCAAGCTTTCGAGCATCAATCTTTCAAACTCACTACCTCATCGCCGACCCGGGAAAAAACTTGGATTGCAGAGTCGAGCTCCCTAGTGTGTGAATCAACGCTTTCGACCGTCCGATCGAATTCGGCCGATGACAAAGTCCGAGCATTGAGTAAGCAATGGTTGAGGTCGAAAGGCTAAAGCTTCAGAGCGGTCTCAGCCTACCTGCACCACCGAACTTCTCCACTGCTCAGATTGTCAACTGCCCAACCAATGAAGATTCATCTTCGAAGTGGCACCCTGGAGTTCTAAACCTCTCTGAAGCCCTCGAGTTCAAACACCGCCCAAGATGCCGCGCTTCCCTCAACTGAGAACGCTGCTTTGTCCTTCGAGACAAAAACTACGTCGAGTGAAGGCCTGGATCATTCTTTTCACAGCTTGAAAACGGCTACCACAACCAACTTCGTATGGGCGCCGAACAGGCCGTCGGCCACCAACCGCCCAATGTCTGCAGGCTGGCCTTCTGCGTCGGCATGCAAGGACAAGCGGATTTTTCAGGCATATCCAAACTAATGGAGCCTCCGCCCTGAGGATGGAAGACTGTCTGGCTCAGCCTCAAGAAGATGACACAGCTCGGTACACCGACAGGCACGCCTACACTTGAAGCGACGGCTCGCAATGTTTTGCGTTGTTGCGGTCAGGAGGAAATGGTAGGAAATGTCTTGCCGGATGAGGGCTGAGTGTGTTGCTGCGCTGCTACGGAGGTCTCTCGGGTCCCTGGTGCGAGGCCCGCCCTAACGCTGTAAGGCGCGATCCCCGGGCTTGTTTCGCAAACAATATCAGCTTCTCCCACGCTTGTCCAGTGGAGCGACATTCATTCATCATCTTCATGCTAAATCACGCTCTTCCCGGCTCAAGGCCGTTCTCTCATCATTCAACATTCCACATGCAAGCATGCAAGCTAGCACTTTCAAGGTTTGTCCGCTCTATGACAGCGGCCTCCAGGTGAGAGGAACTAAGCGTGGCCCAGCTGTAGAATGCAAACTAGATCTGTGAGATGCCAGGCAGCCTGTGCTGACACGGCGAAACATGTCACCGTTTTGGAACATCGCAAAACCGTGCGAACGTGTACTAGCCATTGCAATAAGGATTCATAAGCAAACTTGGACGGCCCAAACACTGAAAGAGTGACGGGGTTGCTTGTTCATTATAGGTTGAACGGTTATAATATAGGTCGCACTAGTAGATGATGGTACTCGTAGCAGCGGTACTTGAAGCAGAAACAATCGAAGCAGCAGCAATAGTGGCTACCGACTATTGCATTAGACTTTGAGTTGCTACCTGACTTTCGTATCCCTTGGCTCGCGTGATCGTGCTTTGCATCTCAAGGCGAAGGCTCAACAAGGAGGGCCTGGCCGTCCTGCAGGGGAAGGCATGCGACAAACAGTTCCCAACGGCTAAACTGATTAAAAGCAGCCAATGAAGTTGCGGATGACACATTCGACAGACAAGCAACAGCGTCCTCGCTGACCTTTGAACTTGTCAGGACGGCACTGCATTGGAAAACATAGGTGGCATCCTTGGTAGCTCTTGGTCTGTCAGAGCTGCATGGCGAAACCCAGAGCGGCGTGCCATGTACAGCGCTTTGCTGGCCGACTGGGAGTGGCCTGCCTTGGAACACCGCGAGCCGTCGGCGTGAGACATCCACGCGTGATTGCTGACATCTTTGTTTAACCGGCTCAAAGCCTCACCATCCATTGACCATCATTGACCAAACCGAACCTGCTCACATCACTGCCCCTACTTCCCCATCCCCGAAGCTCGGGCAATTCCAGCACGTTGCAACCAAAGAAGTCAACAGCCCAATCAACATGGCCTAGCTCACACGGCTGGATTTGTTGGCAGAACGCTCGGGCTGGAACTCTCGAAGGGAGGAACATGTCCGCATTTGGCCACACAACATGACTGTTTCTCGCTCGCTCTCGCTCGCTCTCACTCTCTCTCACTCTTTCTTTCGCCAGGGCTACGACCGAGGGTTGCCCCTCGATCGCGCGCGTCAGCGCCCCCGTCTGTTACGGGGCCATTGGTGAGATTAAGCGCGGTGCAACATCGAGGCAATCTGCGATCAAGCAAAGCCGATAAATACATGACAACGAGTACAAGTAGGAAGACTGATTGCCCAGCCTGTTGGACCTTGTTTGGGGCCTTCCCCTACACTGTTCTAGTGGAGGCCCTACGTTCGAAAGGCGGGAGCCACAAGCCACTAGTGCCCAAGTTGAGCGAGTGCTCGAGCTGAGGTCCAAAACTCACTTCCTACTTACAGACCCTGCCTCCACAAGCAAATCTCAACCGGGGGCCACCCCGAACCTACTCAAGTCAAAGAAACCTGAACAAAAGGAAAACGCTTGAGTTTAGGTGGAGGCAAAGCGGTCACTCGGGCCGGCTGCGGGACTCAGGGTAGGGGACAAGGAAAACAAGAAAGGAGCACTAGTATCTCTCACTCTCTCTCTCTCTCTCTCTTGCTTGCTTGCTTGCTAGTCGTCTGGGTACGGGGAGGTTCCCCAATACCCTGCGCTCACGCGCTACGCCGTTGTCCGAGTCTTGTTTGTGAGACTTGAGAGGTTCAGCCCTGTCACGCGGAGTGGCCCCTAATCCCCGTCCCTCTCCTACGACGTACTAGGCCACACTATGAAACCCGGCCTGGGTGGGCCACCACGTGTGAGCCGAGCCTCTTTCCGTGCGGGTTTCCGCGCGCCCCCGGGCATTGCCGGGGCAGTTGCTCTTTGAGTCCGGGGTTGCTCCCTCAAGTCCCGTAGAAGTGATCTCTCTCTCTCTCTCTCTCTCTCTCTCTCCATATGTTATGGGGCCTTGAGGAGGCGTGAGAAGGTTTGTGATTTCGGGGTGCTGGCAAAAAGTGTCTCTCTCTCTCTCGCTCGCTCTCTCTCTGTCTCTCTCACATGCGCCCAATACCCCCGACTGTTCACGATGCATTTATGAATTCTACGATGCCAAATGGCATTGGCTCAAGACTGGACACATCGGTGTCGAAGCCCGCGCCTTCTACGTGTTCCCTCACTGACAGCCCAAGCGGATGCATTGGTAGTGGAACGGCACAGGAGCACTGACAGGGCGACCTGTGTGCGCGCCACCAACTACTTTAGAACAACACAGGGGAAAGGTTCCCCAGACTCAGGGCAGCTGGTTTGTGCGTGCGGAGCGTGCCTGAATTACCGGCCCTCCACTCTTATGTTGGTCTGGGCACACCACCTATGTTCTTGGCAGCGAAGTCAAGACGGCTCCCTGTGTTTTTCAAGCGGGGCCTTCAGCGACAGGTGGATCGTGTTGTACACAGACGGAGCTTCGCTCCGCAAGGCTGGTTCACTCGCGATATGTGACAATTACACTTAGTTTACAAAGAAAGAGTTGTACTCCTCCTAGTTCTTGTCACCCTTGTTATTTTTGGCTTTGTCCATCTGTATGACCGTCTTCATAAACTTTCGTGCAACTCCTTCTCGCGGACGCGTGCCCCCAATTTGCCCAAGTGGTTGTTTTGGTGGCTCGCTGGGCTCCAGGCACCCAGTGTCGTAGTTGTGGATGCCCCGCCTTCTGTCCCAGGTTCCCCCACGTGAGTTTTGGGCAGCTTCTCGAGGCGGCAACTCCGTTCGTAGTGGCTCTTTGTGCAATCGCAGGTTCGTGGATTGCTATTTCCTCTGCTTGTGCTGCTGGTCCTCGCTGTAAAGACCTCCGTGGCTGGTGCGGCCAGGACCCCCAACCCGCCTCGTCGCGTCGTTTAAGGCTCGACTAACCACATGCGCCTGTCCCCCTCTCACTGGAAGAAAAGCAGCGGGGTTAAGGCAAAAGCGTGCTCCCACTTCCTGCTCGTCTGACCCGGGAAGCTTGTTCGGAGCTGGATGCCTAACTCGCACGTCTGGTAAACACATACTAATTGAAGCCTCCCCCCTGAAGTCATTGCTCGCACTTTGGCATGGCCCCAATCTCGGGAGTCATGAGAATTTGAAAAGATACATTCATTGCTTCCACATGTGGTGTGGTTTCGAAGTCGCCTAAGTTCAGGAGCAGATTACACGGAACGTGTGCGCATGCACTATGGATTGCCCCGTTCAGCTACGCTGTTTCAGCTTCAGCCATTTAGCGAGTACAGGTTTCATGTCCTCCAGCTTCTTCTTCTTCTTCTCGCCCTCGTCCTCGGTGTCCTGTTTGAGCTGTGCTCCCGAACCTCCTGCCATCGAAACCCCGCAGTTGCTGCACAGAGTACCCGTCGATGGGAATGATCGCATCGCGCCCACGGTGAAGACAGGACGTACTTGCAGCTTGATGTTGTTGCGGTTCTCGTGGATCTCGAAGAGGTCGAAGGGTGTTCGGCAGGGGAAGCTCTCTGCAATGCAGCGGGTGTTATGGCTCAGGTGTCTACTTACTCGGCCGACTCCGGCGCACTCTCATACGTCTGACCGACCGATGGCCAGCACCATGCGCTCGAACAAACACTTGCAAGGACAAAAATCAACAAGTCACCAATTGAGACACAGCGGGCCCAGACCAACGCGTAAACACATGCCGAATGCATGCTTCCCGCACGTGGGCACACTTTGCAAATCTGACTTTCCGCACGACTTCAAAGGCTCTGGCGGTGTGCTGCTTTTGCGAGCAACCGTGCACGGCGATGCTGTCTTCCTGCAACATGCGCCATTTGGATAGTAACCCTCACTTGCAAGCCGATCTGAAGCTGGCGCCTTGCTGGACGGAGGTGCAGGTGCTGGCCTGGCAGCACTGGCCCTTTCGGTTCCTTCCTGTTCGGCCGGCTGCACTTTGCTTTCTGGTAGGGCGCAATGCACCTTAGCGTCAGCATGCCGTGAGCACACCGCAATTACAAGGATCTAGCATAAACAAAACTGCCAGGCAATTTTCGGCCTTGCCCGGCATTTGCTTGAAGCTACTCAACTAAACATACTGCAAGTTGCAAACACTCCACACGGCCACACACAAACCGCAATCGGCACTGTACAAAACTAAGGTCGCGGCCGGAAGCCCAATGCTTGCGAAATATGCAACATCCATGGCCGGGGTATCACAGGCCAGATCTCGCTATGTCCGTGTACGACATGGACCGGCTGTCTGCATCATTCTGCAGGCGTGGTCTAGGAGGTCCTTATACATGTCATTCCAGTGCAGGAAAAATCACTTTCATCGCTATCGTGATGTGTAGAACATCCCTCCGGGCAAACATCCCGCCAGACTCAGAACGACATCCACGAATGCGCTCGCGCAGGCCGTGCATAAGCGGCGTCTTTTTCGAAGTGAAACGCTGCGCTGTCACGGTCGGCCAGTCTGTCCTACTTTTGTTTCTTATTTTGCCGAGCGCCAATTTTCTTCTCAGCCTGCAGCAGCTTGCAACCACGTTCTTTCCACAAGTCCGGCCCGAGCCTTTGCAATCTGTTGTGGCGTGACCTTCACCTGCAATAACAATTTCGTGTGGCGTGGAACTCCTGCATCAACTGGTAG